TTCCTTTTTTAGTTAAGCAAACTGAAAAATCAAATTCCTTCTTACAATATCATACTGACACCCACAGATTTCACAGACCATTAAATCTGGCAAGCTCACAAGCAATCTAATTAAAAAAAAAGTTTACAATGGAAGTGTTGGCTGACCTTTACCAGCCCTGCATACAAAGAGGGATAAGTCTGTTCTGGCGCCAAACTCAAGATAAAAGTTTTTGGAGGCATGACTGTTTATCCATGTAGCAGCCATAGTCCCCTCCCCTCCCCCACTGCCAGTAAAGTAACTTGGTTGGTATCTTCAAAGAAATTTAAGGGAGTGAGACACCCGACTGCTGCCTCTGAATTTAAGTCCGGCTTCCCTATGAAAATCCCAGACTTAATTTGAGAATGAGTTTGCATCCAGCTTTTCTATATATTTTTCTTCCAATATAACACCGGGAGGAGATGTTAAAAATATTGTATCCTGGTGTATACAGCTTGATCTTAAACTTACCTGTTTGTTGTTTTCTTAAGGTGCAGGCACAGAACACATTTACTTGAGGGAAAAGGTGGAGCAAACAAATGACATGTACCCTTATACTAGTATAAATCATTTCATTTTGTCATAATATTAGCTCAGTTGAGTGATGATTATACGGTTGTGTAAGTTGCATCAGTGTACCAGTAATTTATCTTTTCCCCTGGTCAATGTCACCCTGGAGGTAACCATTTATCCAATGCAAACTCGATTCCCACCACCCAGTGGTCAGGTGGTATAATAATTCCTACTGTGGACAGCTGGTTTGGGAGAGCTGATGTGTCTAATCCCTGGTATGAAGTGAAATCTGCAGTAAATGACTTTATAGTAACTGCATTGTGCAGACATACCTTTATGTGAATGCTTCCTCCTAAGATATCCTATTAAAATATTTAGGGGAAAAAAAGACAGTACTATATCTACTTAGTACATTTAGTATGTAGAGTAAATGGTGAATGTTGTTGCTTTCATGCAGTGACATTGTACTCGGTACAAAATATTAACCAGAGACTAACTTTTATTGTGCATTGTTATGCAACAGAACAAATGGAACTGGAGGTATGCAGTAATAAAACTAATATTCAAATTAGGATTAACACCTGGAATAGCAAACTGTAGTAACAAATGTTTTTATAATTAAAAAATATTGACTGTTTAAAAAATTATCTAACATTTTTAATTTTCTAAAAGAAATGTGTGCTGCCACATAGAAAACAATTCACACTTCCTATAGAAATTGTCACAAAAAACCTACTAGTCTATATTACACTATGCACTTTGTTGTACAGTATCTGGTATTGATCTATCCCTAGTTTGTAGTTACTCTACACAGTACAGTTATTATTAGAAAGTATTCATAGAATTACATACACTTTAACAATAAAAATATTAGGATTAATGGGCTTTTTAATCACAGTTTTTCCACAAATATTTGTTATAGAAAATAGAGCAAAGGCATGTTGGCACTGATGGGCGTGCGGTACTGCTACATGACGTTTCAGGGGGTAGATACATAAATAACAGCAAGTTGGTACACGGAAGGGTAAGATTAGGATCTAATCTTCTGGGATTGTTTGGAGTGACATGATAGATAGTAATTCCCTTCTGTTACAAGTTTTCCATTTACATATAACACCATAAATTAATATGATGCTTTACAAAACACAGTGCTTAAACACGCTGGGCAATGGCTTAGATGCTATCTCTGTTACTTCTGGTCCCTAGTTCTCCCGTAGTATTATTTCTTGGTTCTTGTAATTTCATAAATGATTTTAGCATAAATTGATTTACAATGCAAGATGAATATATTCCTGGGACTAATTAGAATAAACAGTTGTGAAAAGTTATAAATGAAGTGATTTTTGGTCAAGAACTAACATGCCAATGTTGTTGCCATAAACCCAGGACAGAGATTTAGTCTACTACTTTAAAAACAAAACACACAAATGGCTGACTGACTAGATCATGTCCTCTGCACATCTATGACAGCTCTATGATAGATGCAAACACTCAGCTAGAGCAAAAATTTGTTCTAGTTGAGTCGAAACAGAAAGGCTGTTTCCATACGTCTGGAGCTTTTCAGAATCATTCCATAAATTTGGTTACTTTGCGCACTAGAAGAGCACAGCATTGAGTGATCTTTGTGAATTATGCCAGCATTATAGGGCAGAAGACAGACTATGCTTTAGACTAAAAATAAAAACTAAGCTTAGAAGCTGCTCTAACAAATTATTAATAGTGAGAGGTCTATCCAGTTTAGTAATATTGTTCTATATTATTAAAAATGAAGCTTTTTATTTTTAATCTCATACAGTTAAATATTGGAAAGAAACTTGCACTGTTTACAAAAATACATCCTGGTACGTACTGCTGTAGAGAAGATTAACAGTCGCATATTCTGACATGTTTTACCAAGTAGCTCTGGTAAGTGTCATCACATTAAATGTAAACCAGCAAGACTTGCACCATCGGAGCAAGGTAACAGCTTCTAGAACTGTTCTTTTTTAAAAAAAAGTTTAACAATGAAAAGCCATTATTGGATATCTACACTAACATTTTTACACATTGAGCTTCCTCACAATGGGCCATCTTGTGCTACTGATTTTTAAGCAGAACTTCATCTTGGCTGCCAAGAGAGCTACTGGTCAAAAAACCAATGGCACACAGGGACCAATGTAATTAAGCTATATATTCATTTTCAGAAATTAACTATCTTGTTCTAAGTTAAATGAGAGATTTAAAAAACACTTTAACAACATTAGAAAAAATAAAATGAATTAAGAGGTATTGGATGTTTAGGGGCCTAAAGCACATATTAAGCTAGACAGTAGCTGGAGGGTGCATTCAGAAGATTATTTTCTGAAACACCATCCAGGTACAGCCTGTTAGAAGCTGTAAGGACAGCATGGTTTTGTTCAGAAAATACACAGTGCTGAAGTGACTTATATGTTGCCATGCTTCCTCGCTGACTGACAGGAGGCACCACATCCATAAGAGACCCTTTTCAACAGTGGCCAAAGAAGAGGCTAATAATAGGAAGATGTTGTCATGAGAAATTAGTATTTGAGAACCTGTCTCAGTATTTTGCCCTTGGCCACCTAGGAGTTATCAGAGCACCTCATGTCCAAGGAACCCTTTGGTTGCTTATGAAGAGTGTTTTCCCAAACCAGTAGTCACCATGGAAACAGTTAACAGATTTGCTTGGCTAAAGACTTGTACACTGTGGTGTGAGGGTGGAGCGGGACACAAATTCAGGAAAACTGGCAGAGATGAGGTAGAGAGGTAAAGGTGATCACAGATGGAGAAAAATCACTCTAACAAATACAGTTCAACATGTGCGTCAGACAGGAAGTGTTGCCTCAAGAAAAGCTGATTCTGTAGCTGATCCTCATCCAGTAGTGATGAGGATAGCCTGACTCACCTGAAAGAAGGAAGAGGACTGGAAAAATGCTGAAAATGAGACGGAAGGGTAGCATTTCTTTGGCATTAGTTTCCAGAGTGCATCAATGTTTCAAAATATTACTGTAGTGACACTGGATCCATAGCTGTGATATTAAAAATCTCAAAGCAGTTGAATTTATTATCTTGGCATCTGCTTTCAATATTATGTTCCGTTCTGACCTGGCTTCATTCCTAGCAGAAATATTTGTTTACAGCTCTTAATTAAACCTGGATCCCTTGGTTAAGTGCCCAGCAGCCAAAAGGCTAAATTAGGTTCTTCTTGTAGAACCCCTCCCTGCATGCACCACTGACTATCTGATTATCAGGACCAGCACATTCTTAGAGAGATCAGACAATAAGCATAAAACACAGACAATGGCACAAACAAATGCAAATTAAAATCTTTAAAGCTATATAGTACTGCTGCAGAATAATAATAACAATAATAAAACTATCTCCTCAAATGGCAATTTGTGGTTTAGTAATCTCTTTTTTATGAAAACTGCAGTGATTAGCTCTAATCCTTTCAACAACTGGATAAATATAGTATTTATCAATTACATAGAGTAATTTTAGTGGGCTAGCAGTACCTGTTACTGTTTGATAGCTCTGTAGCGGCCAACAACCACTGCCACTTTACTATGGCACTGGAATTTTATGGTATTAAGTGGATAAAGGAAGTGTTATTTAGGATCTGAGTACACAAAATGAAATGGGCACTATAACATGTTTAAGCTACCTTTTATAATTTATTGTGCTATTTTTAGTCAAAAAATGGAAGGCCACTTCCTTTGCCACAAGCTTGAGCTTGATCCTACACCTCTTCTTAGGCAAAACAAATAGGCAGACAGTAGGCAGACATGTTTCTAGTCATTTGAGGTGCAGACAGAAGTGACAATTATCTGGACACAAAAAGCAGTTTATACCTGGGACCAAATACAAGTGCATGGCTGTAAACAGCTTAAAAAATGGCCAATTGGGTGAAACCCTGATCCCTCATCACATGAGGTATCAGACAAAGATGCTACAAAATGTAATGTCTCTTGGAACTTGTGTCTGCAGAGCTCCCAGCCCATTGCTGTTTTCAGAATGGGAGGGGGGAAAGGGAGCAGAGGGAGTTCAGTCTGGGGGGTTTTCAGCCCCCTGGTGGGTTGTGGGGGGGGAGGGGCTATAATTCACCCACCCTTCAGCACCAGTTTGGGAGCCCCAAGCATGAGCTCCCTCCACTGCCCTTCCCTCTCCCATTCTGAAAACAGCCAGTGCTGACGGAGAGACCTGGCTGTTGCTATGGGAACCTGGCTGCAGACTCCCAGCCACAGATGGATTCCTTTCTCCCCAGGAGCCAACACTGAACTTCTGTTTGGTCTGGGGTAACGTTGTAACCCAGAACGCTTTGCAAAAATCCTTCTGAGTTACAGCTGGGAGCTGCACTTCTGTCTGCAACCTTGAGAATGTGTTAAGTCACATTTTCTTTAGAATGATATGAAATGAAATTGCAGTTTCCTTTAGAAACAATGAAAGGCTTGAAAATTATAGACACAAACAAATTCCACAGGTAGGCCTTGTAATAGATGTCTTTGTTAACTGGGGCACTGGGTAGGATGGAAAAGCCGGAATGTTTGCAGTATGAGTTTGAACATGCTTTGGACTCTTAAATGATTTCAAGGTAAGTATATCTAACCAACAGTCTCTTCTAGTTTAAAACATCTGCTACAGTTGTATGGTTTTTCTTGCTTTGCTTTCAATCTCCAGATCCATCTTGCATGCCCCTATTGAAGACTTCATCTTGTGAACCTGGATGGTCAGTCCCTTCATAATATGAGTTACCATTATGAAGGAAAGTCCCCACTGCACGCCCTTGACGAGCATGTCCTACTGCATCACTGAACACCTTGTTTATCTGTTCTTCAGATGGCATCCACCAGTCAGGGTTGGAAGTACAATGCATCCTAATGAACTCTGTGGGAAAACAGGCACTGCTGAGAAATGGCATGTCTTTGTAAGAGTTATTGCCTAGAGAGCAAGTAACAAAATAATTGACTATTATTATGATATTTAACCAGAAGTAAAACCTTATGGGAAATGCCATGAAAATGCCAGTTAAACCTATTACATTTCTACACAGATTTATTTTGCCACATGCATCTAGTGTACAGATGTAAAATAAGTATGCTAGTTCTGAGAAATATAGAGCCAACTGGAAAGAGAACTTCTTATTGAAATAAAGTAATAAATATACTTTTTATGATACAGTATGTACAATGCATGTAAAAGCTGGTATGAAATCAGGAATGTCTTTTATTTGAAACTTGAACCACTTATGTATGCCACTATGCATACATTCACAGAACTTTAGGTTCTCGCTCTGCTGGCTACCTAGGCATATACAGATTTCAATAACCTACAACCTGCCAGATAATATCTTTAGTACTATTTGAGATGGATGCCACTTCTCTTCTAATGGTAGCTCAATTTAGGTTTTATATTCTCTGTTTGCTTTTGAATATGGTCAAGTCTAAATTGGTCACAGAAATAGCTAAATGAAACCATGGGACTAATTTGTCCTTTTTTCAGACCAGTGGATAAAAAGCTATGCAAACTCCACTTGTACCTTGCTTAATTTGTTTGTTTAAATGGCTAGTGTGCAAGTGTCTTTGTCCATGAATGTCCCATTTTCTTTTGTAGTGTTTAACTGTTACCTTTTGCTTTAAGATTTGTATATGCATTTGAACTGCTTGGTCATATTAAACCTACAAACGTGGTTTTCACAATTCTACAACTCTTGAAGTCAAATGCATATAAAAACCAGAGATACCTAGATATAATTTAATACCTAAAATATAATTTTTTGAAGTGCAGTCATTTTACCACACAAATCAGAAGCACTGTATCTTATATAGAAATAGGCCTTCTTAGTTATTCTCCAGAATTAGGCATTCTTTTATGGAGAAATGTATCTCAAAGGACATTTGTGGTTTTATGTTCTAATACTGACAAGCCAACAGCACAACTGGTGGCATAAGTTAACTTCTATTACTGTCATAACCTTTTGAGTGCAGGGAATATTGTGTTCTACCAGGAATTACATTTTAAGTATTGCTCACTTTTGGGAGTGATTTTAAAAAAAAAAAAAAGAAAGAGAGAAAATATATTGGCATCTTTTTCTCCAGAAAGTTCTTCTTATTGATTCTGTTAAGGTGACAGGGAGCAAGCTCAAATATCTTTTAAAAAAAAAAAAGACCCTTAAACCTCATTCAAGAAATGACATTGATATTGGATGTGGATACCACATCTTTGCATATGCCATGTTAACTCAGACTACAGTCCCATATGTTACAGAGTAATGGGATCATGTTTCCCTGCATGGTGCTCAGGGGGAAGGCAACAAGAAAGTATTAGGAGTTGAACAGGAGAAAGTACAGGAAGGGAACAGTAAAACCTTTTTTTAGGAATAACCACCCTTTTTTTCCCTTCCCAAAAGGAAGCCTTTCTATTTCCCCATCATCCTTCTTCACTCTCCTAGGCCCTCTATTCTGCTGACAATAGTCTCAGGTAAGGAAGGCACTCTCTCAAGTCAGCCTGGCTGCAAAAAGATATGCAATTCTCAATTCCTGCCACAACTAGATTGGTAAGGTTTGATCCTAATACTCGCAGAAAGCTGGGCTATCTCCACTCTGCCAAGCCAATGCAAAGGTGCATTAACTTACAGATTTCTATGAATCAGTTTAGCAGGCCCAATGGACCCTGCATATTTTAGTTTCCTAGGCAAGCTACTAAATTATTTAGGGAACTGGTATTTTTTCCATGGAGAGCCAAAGGATATGTACATCCATATTAGCTATTGGCAGTGGTGATCCCTGGCTTATTGGTCAGATTTATTCCTTGAACTCTCTTGGCTGGAGGGCTGTGGTGGGCATGAACTCACACTTCTGCATGAGTATAACATACCAGTTGAAATTTAAAGCTGCTTAGAACTGCATGATGTCCTGCTGTTCAATTCTGAAGCTTCCAGGTGAACTTTAGACACCCTAAGTTCAGCAGCAGCAGGGTCCTTTGTACATAGCAATACATCTTCCTCATTTTTGAGCTCTTTCAAATCATTTTATGGTGCTGTAATATCTAGTCAAGTTTGTTTGTCTGTGGGTTTAGTAGCAGAAAACATTTTTCTTTAACTTAAATTTATTAAAAATGGTGCTTTAAAGGTATTACCGGATTACATAAGTATACCACAACTAAAAATTTATTCTGCCAGGACTTGTCAATTGCTTCTACTCCAAAAAAGTATAATCTACTTAGAGACTCAAGTGTAACCAACACAGCTGCTAGTATAGATGGGGAGCAGGATTTTATCAAAGACCGGTCACAAGTTGCAAGTATGCAAGTAACCTTCTTTGCATTTGTTTAGCGAGAGCTGTATAAAGTTATGGGGTACATCTATTCTGAATTTCATTCTAATTCATTCTACATTTACACATACAGAAGGCAATTGCTTCTAGAATTGTTCTTTAAAGAAAACATATCAGATGCCTAAGCCTTCATGAGCAACAACTCACTGTATCAGAAACTCTGCACGTCTTTTCATAGTGTCTGACAAAGTGAGCTGTTGCTCACAGAAGCTTATACATTTCCTCTGATTCAGTTGGTTTATAAGGTGCAGCTCTACCCTCCTTCTGTCTGACTACAGGCTAACATGGGTAACTGTCTCTTTCTGCTCATATTTCCTTACGTAATAGCCACACTTCTGTAATGACTGCACCCTTGTATTAATCTCATAATTTTTGAAAAATAAAGCACTTGGGCAGTAGTCACATCCTGATTCCTAAAAACAGATTCATAAGCCATTTCCCTTGAAAGATATGATTTGTTGAAGAATGAAATGCAGTCATGTGGGAAACATGCACCATGTGTCCTTTAGTTCCATTTCACAATTGGTTTAGCTTGGAAGATTGTGCAAGATGGGGAAGTATGATCAACATTTCAATTACAATTTTGGTTTAGCATTAATAATTCCCTCAGTCTTCATCCAGGGGCCAAATAAAAGCCACTGCCTAGAGAAAAAGCCTTATTAGGGAAAGGTTAGTTAAAATAATGAAAATCTTACTGGCCCAGGTCTATTCTGCCTCTAGGATACTGAAGTCTTTGCTGCCACTAGCACAAAAGTATGCCTTCTGGCACAGGAGTGTGAGCCTGCTCTACCCTGGGAAATGCACAACTTTCCCGTTCTCTTAATGGGCAGCCAGTGTGCATCCAGAGGGCAATCCTACCATGTTCCCTGGGAAATGAATACTTAGCTCTCCCATTCTGATAACAGATAATTTTATACAATCCACAAGGACCATCCTAGTCCACTCTGGGGGATGGAAATAACTTTCTCATCCTCTCAAGTGCCCAGTCTTACATGCTTCTGTCATTTGGGAATCCAGCTCCCTCAGATGGCAGGCTTCTTGTTAGGATCCACCTAATTTGTGTGGAACAGTCTCCCTGGACCTCTGTAGGTAACTGCTGGGGGTGGTAACACAAGAAGATCCCCCTACTTTATGCCCAATAACTCAGCAGATAGAGCATCTGCTGAGAAAGGGAGAAACCTAGGGTCTAGACATTCCTCAGCCAGAGAAGATCTGAACACCCATATTTCTCTTCCTAGGAAAGTGTTTACCAAGCTATGGAGAAGCCAGAGCTTAGACCATTTTCCATCCTCTTGTTGAAGCTGGGTCTTAAGTGGAAAGGAATGCCTGAATTACTGGGACCAGAGGCGAGTATATAACATGGAGCCTGACTCTGTCGGTCACTGAGGAAGGACCTCTTCTGGGAGGGAGGGAACCCTGGGTTTTAGTCCCTGTTCCTAATAAGTGCTTGCCCATTGTTACCCATTTTTTTAGGTGTGATTAACCTGTTAATCGCATCTTAAATTATAATAACCTAGCCACAAATTAAAACAATTAATGGCACCACAAAACATGACACCGGCCATAAAATTATTCCACAAAATATGGAATATTTTAGACCCAGGACTGCATGAGAGTCTCCATCTGGCTCCGGTGTAGTCCCAGCGCTGGGATCCCCAATCATCTGGCTGTCAGTTTCAGCCCCAAGACCACACCAGAGTCTCTAGCCAGCTCTAGCATGGTCCCAAGGCTAGAACTGACAATCAGATGATTATCAATCTCAGACCCAGGACTACACCAGTTCTCTTGCACTGGCAAGTTGAAAATGGGTGCCCAGTAGAGTCTGGGATCATGATCCTGGACTCTCCCTACACTCACAAGTCATAATGGCCTGATTGGGATTTGATCCCGAATCCCAAAATCACATATTCTATGTGTGACATAGCAGGAGGTGTGACTGTTGGGATTAGGGAACATCACACCCTTAAATGAACATGTGCCATTGACCTTGCTGTCTTATTGATTTTAGTGGCTGCTGTACAAGGTGGTATAGGATTTAATTTAGTAACACAGACACCTGAAAGCCATGTAAATGCGACTTGTGTTTAGAGAGTGGCTACTATATTTAAGAAAAGGAAACACAGAGGAAAAAA